GCTGCGGCTGCGGCCGATGACATCGGTTTGGACGCCGAAGCCATCGCCGACGTCGTGGACCAAGTGTCAACTTCGTCGGACAACGTGGCGACACCGGCCGACCTGGCTGCGGACGCCCCAACATACTCATGCTCATCGTGAAGATCATCCAGCACGAGGTAACTGGTTCTTCCCGCGTTTGCATTCTTCTGACCAAGGGCGATAGTTTCCACCGTTGCCGTCGTGCTACCCCGCCGAGTTTACATCCCCCCTCCAAGGCTGCTGAATAAGGACCCCGAGAAGCGCCCGTCGCTTCTCGGGGTCCTCGGTATGTCTTGTTCAAAAATCGCCGCTGCACCATGACGATTCCAATCAAGTGTGTGTGTGGATGCTTGTTTCATGCAGTTGCTGTAGCAATTCAAATGAATGCGATGGGTACCTCGGATGTGCAAGCCTCCGACTCTGTGGACGACACCGATCTAGGCGATGGCCCGGTCGACGACACGCGTCGCAACACCAATGGACCGACCTGGTTCCCATCTACGGCACGGTCACATTCGACAATTTGTAGTCGAATTTTCAACAAGACCAAGTTGCAACGGGAATTCGACCGCCCATGCTAGTCCAGACAAGCCTCAAGATGATGGCGGGTGTGGCAGGAAAGGCTCGAGGAGGAGACCGCATGTGTTGGGTGGAAAGCGCTGGCTCCGATGAGGTCGACGAATTCCTGGAAGGGCCGATCTCGTCCACGCCATGCGACGACGAGTTGATAAAACCCAACTACGAGACAGCGTACTCGGAAGAGTGCTTTGACAGTATCCACATAGACTATGGTACTTGAACATGCCCCGAGATCACCGGAATTCAATTGGCCCAACGTGGACAGGTCGCAAAGTCGGAGTTCAAAATGCGAGGGATATTCGAATCGACCAAACACATAGCGTTAAAATTCAATGGGTATTTATCCAATCCCTGCGTGAAATGCAATTGGACTATACAGTATTTCACCGAACCGGCATTGCTCATCGGATGTTCAATTTTAATCGAGTACCACTTTGTCGAGTTTTTATCAAGTCGACTGTACCAAATACCCACGCTCCAATACCAAATGGATGCAATCTCGGCCATCTGGGACATCGGCCACGACGCATACACCGAGTTTTACATTTACCAAGTTGAGTGGTCTGGCCGACTGGTGAGCAAGCATGGCCATTGCTGATGGGATGAGGATGCTGTAGGGTGCTGGGCGAGTCGGGGTATGTCCGATGGATGCTTGAAGACGCGCCTACAGCGTACACCAGCACCACCTCGGTCGTTATTACGATCGAGTTTGCAAGTTTGCAAGCATTCCGGGAGAAGTTGTTCCTCATGTGTGCTTTCCAAGGTTGCGACGGACGCGCGCCGTCGCCATCGTCGTCGTTCACTTCTCCGCCATCATTGCCTTTCTTCGCCGTACAGGGTGGTTTTTTGAATGGTCCCTTTGCCATGCCAGCATCGCATTGAGTGAAGCGAACGATGGCGACGCTTGTGCGTACCAATTCGTGTCGTCTAGGGTATACGTGCGTCGATGCCAATGAGCAGCTGGGCAAGCGGTTATTTTGAATATATTTTGTCCTTCTTGGGCGTATCAAATCAGCTACAGAAGTAGTACCAGGCATTCATTGGAGGACTTCCAAAACTGGCGCAAATGCAATTTGGTACAGGAGTGGCACAAACTTCATCCGGTCATTGCATGAACAAAATGACGATTTGAGTTTAAGGTTGTCTCCAAAACCGACTGAAAAGGATGACCACCGGTGGGGGAATCAATTGGATTGGTTGCTGTGAGCAAAAAAAGTGGAGAGTTAGAAATGACAGTCACTTCTCCAACACAAGAGATGCCGCCTCCATCAAGCAAGAAGACACGAGCAAAAACAACGGCTGGAAAGAGAGGAAAGGGCTGGACTGAACCGGAAGTACAACTCATGCTCGACGTTGTTGAATCTCAACTCCCCTTCGGCCCAAAACA